TTGCTATTGCTATTGCTATTGACCAAGAGCCTTCCTAAAGGCCAAGATGGGGGTGGGGTGGGTGGGATGGGGTGAGGGAGAAGCTCACCTACTTGGGAGCGAATGGCTTCAGTAGCAAGCCTGGCACAGCGCCCCCCCCCCAATAGATTCGTTCCCCCCTCCCCAACGTGATCCGAGACGGGTCCCGAGCGTGCCAGAGAGGAAGAGTCGTGCTCCCGGTTCCCAGATGGAAACGTGCCCGAGAGAGCATTCGCCTTCTTGGCCCCGCCAGGAAGCATCGCTGGAAATGGGAAGGGGGGGAGGGGGAAGAAACAGACCAAGTGACGTGAGGGGGGGCGTGATGGAAAGGAGGATGCGGGCTGGAAGTTATAAAGGAGCTGAGCCCGGTGAGTTCAGCACCCTTCGGATACTGGCGCGAGGTGTGGGGATCCCCAGTTGCCGCGCACGCTTCAGGACCTCGCCGGCTTAGAAGAAGCTTTCTCTGCGGGAGCGGGGCGCTTGGGCTCGATAGGCGAAGCGGATCTCAGGCAGAGGCGGGTGTTTTCTCCCACTCTCTCCCTCCGGCTGCGCTCCTTGTGGCTCAGAAGGCGGCATGTTGAGCTGGGGTCTCCCTGGAGCCGTGCTGGGCGGGCTGCTGGGTTTCTGCCTTCTTCTAGCAGGTAAGTGCGAGTTTCCCTCCCTCCCACCCACTCCTCGGCCCTTGCCCTCCGCTTCCCCTGGACCCGGTTCCGATGCTCTCCGACTCTCGGATCAGGACTAGAATGTTTCCAGGGCGGGACGGGGGAGGAGGAGGCGAAGAGCCCCGTAACCTCTGAACCTCGTGGTTTGGCCACCGTAACCAAAATCTCCCGTGGCGATGCGAGCACAGCTTGGGCGTCCGCGGCGGTGCTGTATCTTTTGCGCTCGGAGTGGGCGAGTCTCGGTCCCAGCCGGAGGACCAAACGCTTCCGTGGCAAAGCGAGCAAAGCTTTGGCTTGTGCACGGGTGGTTTCCAGAGTGTGGCGGGACGCGCGCGAGAATCTAACCTTCAAGGGTCTCGCCTGCCCCTCTGGCTTTTCCGCGGAGGCACCTGCGGGTGTAGAAGGGCCGGGAGATGGTGCGCGTTGAGAGGCTTCCCTTTTAAGAGGAACAGCTGCCCACAGCTGGAACTGCTGGCCCCGCAGCATAAGCGTGGATGCAAATGGGCTGGTCCTCTCTGGCTATTTCGTTGAGCCGATCCTTGCTTTTTTCTCTAGAATATATCTTGTCTTTTTATGTACACTGAGAGCATCTGCGCCAAAGACAAATTCCTTGTGTGTCCAATCACACTTGGCCAATACA